TCCTCCCAGAACATTACAAGGACGGTTGAACTAGTCGCAATCACATTCAGTAAGTATTTTATATTATTGAAGTAAAAAAATTGCTTACAGTTTTTTTCCCCTCGAAATTAACTAGCTTCGCTTCTAAAGTTTCCCCTCCACAAATAACTAGCTTCTAAAGTTTTTTCTTTAATTTTTTTTTTCGTATATGTAGACAAACCGTGGATGTATGTTAGCATTGGCGTGACAATTCTTCTGTTACTTTTGTCGTCCTATGTCGTTACGTGCGCCATTCGGAGAAAGTGTCAACAACCTAGAATTAACATCGAGTCCCAATCCCTTACGGAGTTTTATGCTGTGGTAATGAGGGAATTTAAAAACGATTAATTTTTTGGCAGTATTCTACTTCTTGGACAAACTATGTGGACGACGGATTCATAATGACCACCCAGTCGGACAACCTCCTCGTCCACCCACACCTCCACCGATCCCTCAGCCCAAGCAGCAGCTGCGCTGTTCAACTAGGCTTAGAAGACCTCCCAATAGACTTACCCTTTGATTGTATATATTTTGAAATGGACTGCATTTTTTGATACACGAACTATTCTTGATTATTACAAATTTCATCATGACTTTTCTTTGAAATTTTGTCATCTTTTCTTTGAAAACTAAAATTTTGTCACTGTTTTCTTAAATAATCACTAGATGGAATCCCGCGCAAGCGCGGGGAATTGAATTTATACCATTACCGACAGAAAATATATTGTAGTTTCTACTGACAGCTTACATGCTTATAGCAGGACTTTGTTCAAAATCTCGCATGAAGTTGATGTACGTCTACACCCCCCCCCCCTTCTTTTGGAAAATCTTTTACGTTTTTCTGTTTATTGTGAAACCTAGCTGTTATACTACGTTATGGATATTGTACTTCAGATGCTCTTATTTCATTTCCGTCAAGGATAAAAGTAGCAAATAAGCACATTTTACTGATAAATTGATTTTATTTGGGGGGGGGGGGGTTCATAGGTACTTGGGTCTTAGTTTATAAATATGCATGTACCTTATTGATATGTAAAAATGTACTTTATTTTCTTTTTACATATCAATAAAGTACATACATATTTATAAACCAATAGCCAAGTACCAAGCTGTAACTCCCTATGAATAGGCCGAGTATTTGATACAAAAGACTGTATTCAGAAAAAAATGTATTGATTAAAGCGCAAAGTTTTACATCTTTATTTGTATTTGAACAATACCTTCTTCACAAATGTTCTCTTTTCATGTAAGCAAGTTTATTACGAAGTACAAATTGTACTTCGGGTTCGTTTCCTCGATGTTCTCGAATATATACAAAATTTAACGATAAATTTATTAGGAAAACCTACTACATATACATGTATATGTAATAGCCTTTCGATATATAAATATATTCAAAACTTATAGTGCCATCAATGATTTACCATTATTTCAATGACCATTCACATAAAAACTTTTTATTTATAAAAAAAATATGCAGCTATAATCAACTCGTTTTTCTTTTTAACATCAGGCTCGATGCTATATGATGTTCTAGAAGCTTCCGTCAATATTAAGACCGGTGAATGACGAAAATAATTTGAACATGTCCCTTTTTAATCGGTTATCACAACATTTCTTTTATATTATTTAAATCAAGTTTTGATTGAATAATTCAGTGATGACTTTTTATGAAATAAATAAACGATTGCTTGTAGTCAGTTTCATTAAATATTGTCAGTAACTTAGATCCGCCAACCGGAAACGCCACCGTACTCACGTTTTTGCTATTTTATGGCTGTTTATAGAAAATGAAAGTAGACTTTTAATTTAATATACGATTCTTACTATGCGAGTGAAATCTAAGTATAGTTTACGGACATCATCTTGTATATAGTGTTTTGTTAGAGGAGTAAGTAAGAACTCTGGTGCAGCCGTTTCGGAGTTTATTTGCAAAATTTATTAATTTATAAGTATAAATATCTTTTGAAAGTTAGTTTTTTCCTCTCCTGACAACCACATATCTCTATTAATACATTAAGCATTATTTGTTAAATTATTTATTTTCTGATTGGAAATCAAAAGCCTGAAAGGCTTCAATGGCATCGCACATGAAAACCAATTTCGAAACATTTTTAAGGACATACGCAATGTAGTTTGACCTTTATTGTCTTTTTCTCTGGAGTTGAAGAGTTCCAGTACTTAAAGGAACTGTGTGCTACATTTTAATGTCTATATATGCTGTTGTACATTTCTTCTAAAACAAATTTAAATAAACAAAACATCTAGAATATAATTATGTTTAGTAATTTTTGTATATTTTTCTTTGAATTATACAAGAATTTTCAAGTAGTATAGGTAGTAGCACACAGTCACTTTTCTTATCAGTACCCAAGGTCACTAAAGAGGACACAGTCATTTTGTTATCAGCACCTAAGATCAAAAAAGAGGTTACATTCATTTTCTTACATGGTCATATCCTTATCAGTATCGAGATCACAGTCACAATCTCACGACAGTGAAAGGGGAGGGGGGGGGTATAAAATCTCAGCTTTTTTCATACGTGCTGAAAGAAATGGAATACCAGCAAACTCAATACAAGTGGGAAATCCTAGCCTGGAGCGCGCTGAAAAAAGACAGCAAGAAATGGACTTTACACGAGAGTGACTGGTTCGATAAAAAAGAAAACTGCATCATTGACTTTAGAGAAAAAATAAAAAAAGAATACGACATTGCGGATCGCTGGGGATGTGAAGAGTCCATTATAAAACGCAAAGTTATGCCTACAAAGTATAGATTACTTTTTAAACCCCCAGAATTATAACCATGTTTAAAGGTCAAAACAAAAAAAATTCATTTCAATGATAATATACAGATTTTTTATGTTCCATATGAAGAACGGAAAGATTTGGATGAGCTATGCTGTAGATAGGGCACACTTGACGAGGAGAATTGAATGCAATGAAAAACTACTTTCACCCGTGTTACAAAATAAACTGACTGAAAGCCAAAATCCTGAGAGTTCTAAAAGTCACAGTCACTCCGTATTAAAAAAGCTATCAACTTTATCTCTGAGTGCAGTACCATGTCACAGTCGCAACGTGATCATATAATCACGTGCTCCAAAATCAACCTTATCTCTGGGTGTTAACGGTTACACCCTCTTATAAGTATATAAAAGAGAAAAAAATGAAATCACTTTAACAAAACATCAGCAGTCTCTATGGAAAGCCACAGGGGACCCCCAAGTCATGTTCTATATATTCATAGTAATTCAATCTTGGGCGGTCATGTTTACAATCCCGGCCAAGTCATGATCGGCCACACGGGACTCCCAAGTCATGTTCTATATATTCATAGTAATTCAATCTTGGGCGGTCATGTTCTATATATTCATAGTAATTCAATCTTGGGCGGTCATGTTCTATATATTCATATTAATTCAATCTTGGGCGGTCATGTTTACAATCCCGGCCAAGTCATGATCGGCCACACGGGACTCCCAAGTCATGTTCTATATCTTCACAGTAAATCAATCTTGGGCGGTCATGTTCTATATATTCATAGTAATTCAATCTTGGGCGGTCATGTTCTATACATTCATAGTAATTCAATCTTGGGCGGTCATGTTCTATATATTCATAGTAATTCAATCTTGGGCGGTCATGTTCTATATATTCATAGTAATTCAATCTTGGCCGGACATGTTCTATATATTCATAGTAATTTAATCGGTCATGTTATGATTGCAACTCTGACCAAGTCAGGTTTGGTTTGATAGCATAACATGGCCTTCTTATCTTTGCCGGTCATGATTTGACAACCCTGGCTTAGTCAAGATATATCCCATGTTTTACATCTTGACTAGGCCATGATTTTCTATCCCAAGATTGCATTGGCCAAGATACATTACTTCCAAACGCAGTCAAGATTTACTTCCCAAGATTTTATAGGACCGAGATTCGGCCAAGATAGCATTGCGCCAAGATATATTACTTCCAAACGCAGTCAAGATTCACTTCCCAAGATTTCAAAAGACAAAGACTAATTTCCCAAGATTTCAAAAGATCAGGATTTACTTCCGAAGATTTGAAAATATCTAGATAACTTGTTACCGTCGTATTACAATATAGGCCTACATAACTGCAATCAGGAATCGTTGTTCGATGTAAGTACACAATGAATAATTTTCTTTTATTTTATTTAGATTGTTTTCCTTTCTCATTAAAACTGTAGCGGGTCTCAATCTATTGACGAGTGAAACTGAAACCCTCACGAAGCAGTAAATGTCATTTCTGAACTTGATTTCTTTTAGATTTTTTAATTATTCCTACAGCTTTATTAACATATAACTGATAATCATTTATTGTAATTGTTTTCATTTTTCCATAAATGGAAGCAATTATATTAACGAGGAAACTCAAGTAAATTTATCTCAATAGTAGGATAGTACGGATCCTTTAAAATTAGAACAACCTGAAGTAGGTTTTTGAAAATACATTTGTGCAATTTTGCATTTAAAGGAAGAAAAAAAAACAAGAAATTGCAAGGTTGTTTACTATGTAGTTTTAAAATAACAACACAGAACACAGATAGTTGCATGAAACATTGCAGCTTTTAGGCAGTTTTAAGCAAAGCATGCATTTATATTGTTTGAGTAAATGGGAGTCCGGTCAAGTCGTACACAGACCAACTCATATACAGGTCAACTCGTATACAAAAATTTCCGTATAAACAACGTATACAAAAATTCCCGATATGCTAAAGAGTCAACTCGTATACAAAAATTTCATATGCATATATAATCAAATACAATTTATGTCAAATATTAAACATGATAATTAATATATATATATATATATATAACGTTAACAAATATTCTTACAACAGATGATATCATTTAAGAAAAGATTAAGTTATATAATATTTTACAGCAAAAGATGACTTTCATTGTCTAAAACAGTGATAAGTATCCATTTTCTGTAAATAGGCTAACAATACGAGTTGACCTGTATACGAGTTGGTCTGTGTACGACTTGACTGTAAATCAGTAAATGTATACCAGTCCACCTTGTGTGTGATAAGGCATCGATAAGTATGATTACTTCACATTGTGTTGAATTATTAACAATCAATTATCATAGTAGTATAATTAGGTAGGTAAATAAAGCTATGTAGGTAATTAAAGGTACCTAGCAATATCTAGTGATTGTACTGGATCTGGTATTATAAGCATTGATTGTCATTATATTATGACCTCTTTTTATATACAGTTCATTATATATTTTCTTTTTTAGAATTATGTTTTGCATTGAATGTGGGGTGGTTTTAGGCCCCACAAACAAGTTTTGTGGTTCATGTGGCGCCCCAGTCTGTGTCAAAAGGAAAGGTAATAACGATAGTGTAGTATTATGCTAGAGATGCATTATACTGTAGGTCAATGAAAAATAAAGTACATATTAGATAATATACTAGTCTTGTACATAACCCACTTTGTAACTTATTGTTAATCAATGTATATTGCAGTAACAACAGAACCTGACACAGCCAAACCAGGGCCATCAAAATGTAAGTTTGATATTAAATAAATACTACTGAAACTTACATATATCGGTTTTAATATGGTCAAAGGAATACTGCAGATGTACATGAGATACAAAAGTACAATGTGCTAAAATACTAATTATAAATAAATATATGCATAGCCTTGTAAATATTTTCAAATTGGTGACCTTTTATTAATTTTCAAAGTATGTGTTTGAATAGCTTACCTATAGATATTTTGATATGCTACTTTGTTTATACTTAATACAGCTTTTGATGAGTCAGCAAAAGGATGCTTCTCGCCAAATGGTAAGTACAGATGATATCCGTGTATGATTCAAAATTACAAAACTTTTTTCTTGGAAGAATAATTATTTAGAAATTGTATTTGTTTAATGACAGCACATTTTACATATATATGTTTTACTTAAAGAAAGAGAAGAATTCATTTATTAGCTCACCTGAGCCAAAGGCTCAAGTGAGCTTTTCTGATCAAAATTTGTCCGTTGTCTGTCGTCGTTGTTGTCGTTGTCGGCGTTGTCGTTGGCGTAGGCGTTGTTGTTGTAAACTTTTCACATTTTCATCTTCTTCTCAAGAACCACTGGGCCAAATTCAACCAAACTTGCCACAAAGTATCCTTGGGTGAAGGGTATTCAAGTTTGTTCAAATGAAGGGCCACGCCCTCTTTCAAGGGGAGATAATTAGGAATTAGTGAAAAAATAATGACATCATTTAAAAATCTTCTTCTCAAGAACCACTGGGCCAGGAAAGATAAAACTTATGTAGAAACATCCTCAGGTAGTGTAGATTCAAGTTTGTTCAATTCATGACCCCCGGGGGTAGGGTGGGGCCACAATGGGGGATCAAAGTTTTACATAGAAATATATAGGAAAATATCTTTAAAAATCTTCTTTTTAAGAACAGCAAAGCCAAGATTGGTCATATTTATATGGAAGCATCCTCAGGTAGTGTAGATTCAAGTTTGTTCAAATCATGACCCCCAGGGGTAGGGTGGGGCCACAATGGGGGATCAAAGTTTTACATAGAAATATATAGGAAAATATCTTTAAAAATCTTCTTCTTAAGAACAGCAAAGCCATGATTGGTCATATTTATATGGAAGCATCCTCAGGTAGTGTAGATTCAAGTTTGTTCAAATCATGACCCCCAGGGGTAGGGTGGGGCCACAATGGGGGATCAAAGTTTTACATAGAAATATATAGGAAAATATCTTTAAAAATCTTCTTCTTAAGAACAGCAAAGCCATGATTGGTCATATTTATATGGAAGCATCCTTAGGTAGTGTAGATTCAAGTTTGTTCAAATCATGACCCCCAGGGGTAGGGTGGGGCCACAATGGGGGATCAAAGTTTTACATAGAAATATATAGGAAAATATCTTTAAAAATCTTCTTCTTAAGAACAGCAAAGCCAAGATTGGTCATATTTATATGTAAGCATCCTCAGGTAGTGTAGATTCAAGTTTGTTCAAATCATGACCCCCGGGGGTATGGTGAGGCCACAATGGGGGATCAAAGTTTTGCATAGAAATATATAGGAAAATATCTTTAAAAATCTTTCTCTTAAAAACAGCAAAGCCATGATTGGTCATATTTATATTGAAGCATCCTCAGGTAGTGTAGATTCAAGTTTGTTCAAATCATGACCCCCGGAGGTAAGGTGGGGCCACAATGGGGGATCAAAGTTTTACATAGAAATATATAGGAAAATATCTCTAAAAATCTTCTTAAGAACGGGAAAGCAATGATTGGTCATATTTATATGAAAGCATCCTCAGGTAGTGTAGATTCAAGTTTGTTCAAATCATGACCCCCAGGGGTAGGGTGGGGCCACAATGGGGGATCAAAGTTTTACATAGAAATATATAGGAAAATTTCTTTAAAAATCTTCTTCTTAAGAACAGCAAAGCCATGATTGATCATATTTATATGGAAGCATCCTCAGGTAGTGTAGATTCAAGTTTGTTCAAATCATGACCCCCAGGGGTAGGGTGGGGCCACAATGGGGGATCAAAGTTTTACGTAAAAATATATAGGAAAATATCTTTAAAAATCTTCTTCTTAAGAACAGCAAAGCCATGATTGGTCATATTTATATGAAAGCATCCTCAGGTAGTGTAGATTCAAGTTTGTTCAAATCATGACCCCTGGGGGTAGGGTGGGGCCACAATGGGGGGGTCAAAGTTTTTCATAAGAGTATATTGAAAAAAACTTATGGAAGCATCGTTCAAATGATTGTTCAAATGAGCACCCCCGGGGGTAGGGTGGGGCCACAATGGGGGATCAAATTTTTACAAATGAATATATGGGAAAAATCTTCTGCTCAAGAACAGCAAAGTTATTTGTTATATTGATATGAAAGCATTGGTAGTTTAAAATCCCCCCCCCCCTCTCTCCCCCGTTAACTTTTCAATACTGAACTGATTTTTGCTTTTTTTCCTAGCCAGTGTGCTCAGGTGAGCGATGTGGCCCATGGGCCTCTTGTATAAGCAGGTAAACTCTATCATGACTATCCTTTTTCTTTAGGAAGTCCATCTTTGCATAAGAAGAGAGAAGGTACAGTAAATTATATGTTATTGGTAAATTATGAGATAGAAGTCACATTATGACGCCAGTGCTGTATGTTCATAAAAAATGCAAATTTTTATTAGAGAAAATCTGGAGACATATAGAGTACATCTGAATAATTAATTGATTTCTAAAAGAACTATGTAGATGCTAAGTTTAGACTCTTGCCTTCAGTTTCCATTTTAAGCTCACCTGAACCGAAGGTTCAAGTCAGCTTTTCTGATCACCTGTTGTCCATCAGTCATTTATTCGTCAGTATGTGAACTATCCATATTTTTTAAAATCTTCTCATGTTGTCCTCAACCTAAGTCATACTACATACGGTAAATCAAAGATGCAATAAAGGGCAATGTTCTATTTTTTCTTCTTCAGAGGTACAGTCCAAACTTGACGTTTTAAAGGCCAAGTTTTTTGATAGTAAGAAAAAAATGTCCAGCAAAAGATTAGGTGGACACACTAAATCTTCAGGGTTGGAGGTAAGAAATTAGGCATCATTGAATCCAGCTTAAATGTGTGTAGTTATTTATGAACTATTTTGTCTTTTTTTGATCAGATATTTATAATAGGCTATCAGTACTGTATGTAGGAAACAAAATATGTTTAAAAGGTGTAATGCACAACACTGGTCCTTCAGACCAATGGTATATATTTATCTTCAGGTCAATTAGAAACAGATCACAAGTCTCTTGTATGGTTGATGAAGGCAAAACATAGTGGTAGATTAGAGCGATGGTCCATACTCCTACAAGAATACAATTTTGAAATTGAACATCGTCCTGGTAAATCAAAAGTGGTAGCTGACGCTTTAAGGCATGGAACATTACCATACATACCTGGCCAACACAAAGTTCTCCGTAGAAACAGATCACAAATCTCTTGTATGGTTGATGAAGGCAAAACATAGTGGTAGATTAGAGCGATGGTCCATACGCCTACAAGAATACAATTTTGAAATTGAACATCGTCCTGGTAAATCAAACGTGGTAGCTGACGCTTTAAGCAGACGTCTTTACGATCAACAAGCCACTCTTTCACAAGTCAGCGTTATCAACACAACACCAAACCATACTGAGGAACCAGAACCAGCAATGGTAGAAATTTTTAATGATGAGGACCAAAATGCCACTGTGTGTCCCATAGAACAAGAACTACTAAATGATGCTTTAAATGACAAACAAGCTCTGTCAGAACTCCAGTAAGAATGTCCAGACATCAGCGACATCATCAAATATTTGAAAGACAACACGCTTCCAAACGGCAAAACCAAACATGACTCCTTTTTGCAGAATCAAGACGTTACAGCCTACAAGATGGTGTCATTTCATTGGTTTCAACGCAAATTGATATATTAGTTTGGTAACCAAACATAAATTATTAAAATTCATTAAAATAAATTGGGAATCGAACCCCCCCCCCTCTTGCTTTTTTATTTAATTTTTTACAATATTAATTATTATTCGCTTGATAATGATTTTTTATTGGCCCCATTTTGTTAAGCTATGCTTCTTGCCTGATGCATTAAATAAAGTGTGTATCCCCTATTTCCTTTGATTTTACATTCATTATGACTTGATCCTTCTGCGATTATAAATACATAAAAATAATTGCAGAAAATGATTTGCACATTTGATATTTATAGATATCTTTATATAGTCCTTTATTTTCTCTAAATATTGATACTTATTAAAAAGTGTGGTATTTATGTAATAAACTTTGGATAATGCATTAATGCATTTTAGTTACACAGTGTATGGGTACGGAGCGAAATGCTTTAGTGACGAACTCGCTTTATCTATGTATTCGACCATGACATTTCTGTTATTTACAGAAGTGCAAATACTAGTGACTACCAACTATCGGTGTTATTAGGTCTTTCCACCATTCTGTGGAAAGACCTCTTGAAATGCTTCCGTTTATTATTATTATTATTCCGCTACGGCTTTTTGATCCAAAAAGACTTATCGAGAAACTTTATAGTTCATGATACTCGACTACTTAAATTATTTCGAAAAACATGTGGCCAGCTATTTAACCTTTGACCCTTTCGTAGTTACTACCCTTTGTACTAAAATCCTTGTTATCGCTACTCCTTAGAAACCGTAAACCATAGAGGTACGGAACCTTCACCAATGTCTTCCGACTAATTGAGGGAATTCTTCAATCTTTTTTAATTGCGTTGACCCCTTCTACGAGTTATTGCATCTGAAAGTTTTTGATGTTTACGAATAATTAAAAATTTTCAAAACGATAAGTCGTAGAGACATGGGATCAACCGCATAAGATCCATTGACCTTTGGCCTATAAATAGATATTTTTAAATGCTGCACTTCTTTTCCTTTATATTGTTCACGTTAGCTCCGTCGGTAGAGCGCTCGCTCCGTGATCTGAAGGTCGCGAGTTCGAATCTCGGTCTCGACTGACCTAAGTCAATAAAAAATGGGTAGCAACTGTTACTTCGCCATGCGCTCGGCACTTTGAAGTGAAAGTTGCGGGTCCTTCGGACGAAACCTTAAAACAGTGGCCCCGCTTCACGGCAGGCGTTGGCACGATAAAGATCCCTCACTACTCAATAGCCACTAATGCCGAGAAAAGGTCAAAATTTGAAACCCTTCACTGGTATGTGGTGACGTCTCTGTATGAGTGAAAAATTCTCAAATGGGACGTAAAACAACATACTATCAGCCTTTTCTCTCTACATAGAACACTAAAAATTATGTTTGAACAGTAAATAGCATGGATGCTATCTCATCACAAGGCCACTATAATAAAATGTTTGTGTTAATTTCAAACCTAGACATAAACTTTCTCAAAAATTTAAGTATATTTCTTTATCAGGTTGTGCACAGTTCCTTTCTCGTGGAAGTATTACTATAAAAGGGGGTTATTCCTCTTTTCAGTAATAAAAACATTACTGTATACAAGAATTTTCACTCGTTTACCCTCTATTCTCGTGTTTGCGTTGAATAAAAGATGAAGTGCAAGAATATTTTCACATCTTACAAATATTTATAGTCTGTCAAGTGTATGTATGCTCAAAACTACAATATTTATCGCTGCAAAATGCTGAAAGAGTAATGAAATATTTGTACGATATAAATTTCTTACGGAAGCTTATCTGTGTTGTTAAAATTGTGAGATTGTATACGTTCAGCACTTGCTGACTCGTTCATGAAATTATTCGTTCTAATATAATTTTATATCATCTCTTTCAAAGACATCGTAAAAATATTTTTTTATACCACTGCTTCTTTTACAGATGAAAATAATCATTTAAAATATTAAATGTTAAAAGATAGTCTTTCAAAGATGGTTTTAGCATGATTGTCCTTATAAGATTCCATACTTTTCGTATCATTTATCAACAGGGACAAGATGTGTTTGTGAAACACTGATTCCCCTGTATGGCAGTTTATGGCGAAGGTTAAAGTTTCTCAAATGCAAGTCAAAATCCGGGCCAAAAGATGAAAAATGTTGGTACCCAAAGAAAGGTCTTGTCTGGACGAATATACCTGTGAAATTTGAAAGCCCTAGCTGCAACTGTTCAAAAGTTATGGCGAAGGTTAATTTTTTTAAAAGTAAGTAAAACGTCAAGGTCAATGCTGTTGGTATCCAAAGCAAGGACTTGTCACAAGGATTACATATGTGTAGAAGGAAAGCCCTAGCACCAACCATTCAAAAGTTATGGCCAAGGTTAAAGTTTTTCAAAATTAGGTCAAACTCCTAGGTCAAGGTCAAAGTGGTTGGTATCCAAAAGAAGGTCTTTTCAAAAGGATTACATATGTGAAGTATGAAAGCCCTAGCTCAAACCATTCAAAAGTTATGGCCAAGGTTAAATTTTCCAAAAGTAGGTCAAACTCCTATGTCAAGGTGAAAGAGGTTGATATCCAAGAGGAAGGTCTTGTCAAAAGGAATACACGTGAAGTTTGAAACCCCAAGCACCAACTGTTCAAAAGTTATGGCCAAGGTTAAAGTTTTTCAAAAGTAGGTCAAACTCCAAGGTCAGGGTCAAAGTTGTTGGTATCCAAAGGAAGACCTTGTCACAAAGAATACACATGTGAAGTTTGGAACCCCAAGCACCAACTGTTCAGAAGTTACGGCCAAGGTAAAACTCTCAGAAAATTTTGCGAAAGTGGGTCAAACTCTAAGGTCAAGGTCAAATATGATGGTACCCAAAGAAAGATCTTGTCACAAGGAATATACATGTGAAATATGAAAGTCATAGCTTCAACCAATCAAAAGTTATGGGCAAGGTTAAAGTTGACAAACAGACAGGACAAAAACAATATACCCCCGGGATCTTTCGATCCAGGAGTAAAAGTCGTGGATTACTGCTGCACGTGGGTTTAAATTCCCATGCATGTTCAAAAGATGTGACCACCACGAAACCAAGCTATGAAATTTTCCGTTTTTGAACAAATAATTATATAACTTATAAGGGAAATATGCATACCCGTTTGAAGAATACTCCTGATGTCGTACGATTAAATCTCATCTTACTCCTGTCTGCAGCACTAAAGGACCGAATTTTTTTTTGTCAGCGAGGTTGGTTTAATAAAGTTTCAACACATCACATCGTATTTTTCATGCACTTTTTATTTAATAAACGGATTTGGGGCATTATTTTTAAAATATGACGAAAATTCCCGTATACAGTAATGTTTTTATTACTGAAAAGAGGAATAATCCCGTTTTATTGTAATACTTCCTCGAAAAAGGAACTGTGCCCAACCTGTTTATTATATCTAGTATAAAGATTTAATGTCTGTACACTCAGAATGTATAGAAATAGTGTCTTAAGGTGTTAAGCTTCGTCAAAGAAAGATGACATAATTTACAGTATGCTGATTATATGTTTTTCTCCTGTATTTATAAAAATGAATATAAATTGTTTGTTCAGATTATCATGGATAAGATCTGTTAATAATTATGTGGGGAAGGGGGAGAAGACAAGGGGACAGTTCCAGACATTTGGATAGACGAAGACTTCGTTTTATCACCACCATTTGAAAATAGTGTGAAATTCATTAAGGAAAGAGTCGCCCGCGTGGCGCAGTGGTAAGTCATCAGGCGAGAACTGTCACAGCTGCTTAGGAGAGCGACTGGTAAATATGCATTTCTTTTATATGGTTTTCGTCTTTAACGGGCTATGATGTTGCGTGAATAAAAATTACGTCTTATTATAAGTTAGTTAAATGTAAAAAATATATTTTGGCTGCAGTCACCCGTATTTAAAAAAAAAAATATTAATGCACCATTACGGAGATGCAGTGGAATTGTAGCCCTCTCCAGAAAAAAAAAGGAGATGGCTACATTATTGCCGCTAAGTATCGACCCTTTTCTTCAACATTAAGAGTATCATTGAACCCCCCCCCCCCAACTTAGTCTTAATAGAGTTTCATTGACGGATTCCCCCTTTTAAGTTGAAGTAAGACAAACCGTCCAAGTTTGTAGGAAAAGAAGAAGTTTTTTCTTTGATCTTTGTCAAAGATTATGTAGTCAATTATGATTTTCATTCAAGCGTCCCCACCCCTGTCAAAACGCCTCCCCGTGCCTGCACATTTGTCGTAACTTGTGCCAACAGAGATAACAATCGCCAGGAGTCAGTCAAACAACGAGTTGATGGATTATGAGCAAAGAAGCTTGTAATCAATTCGTTCGTCAAATATTT